AGGGGCCCTGGGCCAACAGCTCCCTGAGCCTCAGGGGGCCGCTGGGCTCTGACCTCAGACTCAGCTGCGAGGCCCGGAATGAGCACGGGGGCCCAGAGCACCGCCGTCCTGGTGCTGCGGCCAGGTCTGGGGGCTGTGGGGAGGTGGGGTGGGTGGGGGGTGTTACCTGGAGGACTAGGAGCTTGGTCCTTGCACTACATCCCTCGCTAGAGAAGCTGTGACAAAGTCCCTCACACTGGGCAGTTCAAACAATGGAGATTTACTCTCTCCCAGTTCTGGATAGAATCAAGGTGTCCACAGATCAGTTCCTTCTGAGACTGTGAGAACTGTTCCAGCCTCCCCCTGGCTTCTGGTGTTTGCTGGCAATCTTTGATGCTCCTCAGCTTGTGCAAGCATCACCCCTCCTCCGCCTTCATGTTTTCCTGGCACCCTCTTGGGTGTGCGTCTGTGTCCAAATATCCCCATTTTATGAGGACACTCGTCATGTTGGGTTAGGACCCACCCTAGCGATCCCATTTTAACTTGATTACCTTTGTAAAGACCCTGTTGCAAGGAAAGTCACATTGTGAGGGTGGAGGGGTGTAACAGAGGGCTGGGACTTCAGCATAGGAATTTGGCAGGGGACACAATTCAGCCCCCAAGAGCCTCAGAGAGATGGGGCTGGGGTGGGGAGGCACCTAAGGCCCCAAATGGAGCAGCTGTAGGCTTAAGATCTTTAGTCCTGAGGCCAGGGGAAGGGGCCAGTCCAGCGTCCACAGGGCAATGGAATGCCACGTGATGGGTGGCGGGTTATACTAAAGGGACACGGAGGGAGAGAAGTGGAGGGTTGGAGGATGTCATGTATTGGAACTGGAGATTACACAGAACTCAAATTTTCTGCAGATAAGCCAGAACCCAGGGCCAGTGGCGTCCTGGGAGCCGTCGGGGGAGCGGGCATCATGACCCTGCTACTTTCTCTCTGCCTTTGTCTCATCTTCAGGTGAAAGTGGGCTCCAGGGATGGAGGGAGAGGCCTGGAGTGGAAAGGGCATGAGGTCATGGAATCTTAGAGAGCCCGAGCTAGAGGAACTCGGGCTGCTGGGAACTCCAAGAGCCAGGGAAGGAGGCTGCGTGGTGGAGTGAAGCATCCCGTAGCCAATCGGGCCAAGCCTGGGTTCTCTTCCCAGCCCCTGGTTCAGCTCTTGGATTAGGGGAAGCACTTGGAGACTGGACCCACACCCACCTGCCTCCTTCTATGCTCTTTGTGGGATGCAGGGGATGGTCTGCCCACTGCACGCCCCAAATAACCAGGCTGAAAGTCCTGGGGCTGTTTCCTTAGAGTGAAGACCCTCAGGAAGAGAGCAGCCCAGCCAGTACAAATCGTGGATTTGAACTCAGCCGGTGACTCAGGCTCTGGGGTGAGTGTCAGACCACGAGCTCCTATCCAGCCTATGCCTTTTGGAAGCCGCCCTCAGCGAATAGTCGAGCATTTCCCTTTTTAACATCTAACACTTGCTCCAGTTCCAGTTTTAAATTATTGATTCAACTGCTCTAATCCTTCTGCTTCTGATGGAGTGTGGATATAATCCGGTTGCTCATTGAGGGGCATTTATGCCTCCTATGTCAGAGTATCGCATTCCCCTGGAATATTAGCCTTTTTCTTGTGGCGTTGGTTACCCAGAAGCGTAAGGGCCCTAGCTTAGTGTGGGTGAGACCCACTGAGTAGGGAAGTGGTGACTCGAGCCCTAGGGTAGAGACTGGGGCACCCCGAAGTCACACTTTGCGCATCACTCCCATTTTGCATCCTTCAAATCTACCACTGTCAATGGTAGATAAATATCAACCTCATTTATTATATGCACTTTACGTAAAATAAAATGCACCCATTTGAATGTGAATTTTGACAAACGTGTTTGCCCTGTAACCATGTTCTCGATCAAGATGTGGAACATTTCCAGGGCACCTGGGAGGCTCAGGTGGTTAAGCGTCTGACTCTTGGGTTGGCTCAGGGCATGATCTCACAGTTCATGGGTTCGAGCCCCATGGGTTCGAGCTCCGTGCTATCAGCTGCTTGGGATTCTCTGTCTCTCTCTTTTTCTGCCCCTCCCCTGCTCTCTCTCTAGCTCTCTCTCAAAATAAATAAATAAACTTAAAAGAAATAAACCATTAAAAAAAAAGATGTAGAACATTTCCATCATGTCCCTAAATTCCTTTGTTCCCCTGCCCAGTCAGTTCAACCTTTCCAGAAATCACTGATTTTTATCACTGTGGATTACTTTTGTCCCTTCTGGGACTTTATATAAAAGGAATCATGCAGGGGCACCTGGGTGGCTCAGTCAGTTATGTGTCCAACTTCGGCTCAGGTCATGATCTTGCAGTTTGTGAGTTCTAGCCCCGTGTCAGGCTCTGTGCTAACAGCTTGGAACCTGGAGCCTGTTTCGGATTCTGTGTCTTCCTCTCTCTGCCCCTCCCCTGCTCATGCTCCCTCTCTGTCTCTCAATAGTGAATAAACATTAAAAAAAAAAAAAAACTAAAAACAAAAAAAGGAATCATGCAATATTTACTAATTTATCTGGTTTCTATCACTTCATGAAAAGACACAAAAATCCTAAACATGTATTCCTTCCATAACAGAGCACCATTCATCAAAATAAGGATACTTGAAAACTGACAGAACAGCAAAGAGAAATAGACATACTGGCAATCGTAGCTGATTATTTCAAACTCTTCTCTCCATAACTGGTGGAACAAGTACACACAAAATCTTTTTTTTAAGTTTATTTATTTACTTCAAAAGGGAGGGAGAGCACAAGCAGAGAGAGAGAGAGAGAGAGAGAATCCCAAGCAAGCTCCATGCTGTCAGCACAGAGCCCAACATGGGGCTCGATCCCATGAACTGTGAGATCCTGACCTGAGCCGAAACCAAGAGTTGGACGCTTAACTGACTGAGCCACCCAGGTGCGCCCCCCCCCCATATCATTTTAAAAGTTTAATTTACGTAATTCCCCGTCTTGTTTCTCCTTGGTGGATCTTGGGGAGCGGAACCCTTAACATGAGCTAAATCCCCATCTTGTCGTGAATCACGACATATATCTTCCATTTCTTTACCTTCAAATTCTCAATTTTTTTCCTTTAAGCGAACGTCTCTTGTAGTCAGTACAGTATAGTGGTTCAAAGCATGGACTCCGGAGCCGGACTCCTGCATTCAAATCCCATCTTTCCCTACGGGCAAACTGGGTGACCTTGGGCAAGTGGCACACACCTCCGTTTATTTTTGGTGACATGGGAATGTTAAGAGTATAGAGGGTAGTTACAAGAAGTGTCTAGAACACTAGCTGGCACGGGGTAAGCACAGCGTTCATTACTACAGTCAGAGTCGTTACCTCCTCTAGCGAGTAAGTCCTAAGAGCGGTTTGTTTTGTAGCTATTGTTTCATTCCCGCTTGTGTCCCCAGAGACCAGAGAAATGCCCAACAGTTTCCTCTTAATCCGAGAATTACTTCTCGTTTTGCCTCTCTCAGCGCCTGTGTGAGGGCTTGTTTCTTTTTTTTTTTT